ACTAGTTAAAAAGAAGGGTCGCGGAGAGATTCCCAGTCGATCGCGAGATGTGTCTAAAAATAGAACAACATTCTGTTTTATCGTTAATGTCCTGTAACATAATGTTCCCGTGCCAGAATAATGCACTTGAACGCATCAAAGCTTTGTGATTGGCCGGCCTCACCTCATGTGTCCGGGCGTGGCTGGTGAGCAGTGCACTAGTTCGCTGAGGTTGTCCGTGTCAACAGCATGGATGGTCAACAGGAGTGACAGTCCGCACCACACACAAGACCGCAATTATGGCAGAAGCAAAAAGCCCAAAATATATAATTTTCACTCCGAGTGGGAGGATCATTATTTTTGTATCTATTCCAATTCAAAGTCCATCTGTCTCATCTGCAATGCGAGCGTGGCTTTATCGAAGAAGGGTAATTTAGGAGCGGCATTTCAAAACAGTGCACAAACGCTACGAGACGGAATTCCCTCCTAATTCTGCCCAACGCTCCCAAAAGGGGAGGGGCCTGAGAGCACAGCTAAATGCACAGCAGTCCATTTCCACCAGGCCCAACAACAAGAGCAAGGCTGCTACCAGAGCATCTTATCGTGTTAGTCACGTTCTTGCGAAACACATGAAGTCTTTCGAAGACGGCGAAGTTATGAAAGAAGCTTTCCTGGAGGCTGCGACGCGCTTTTGAGGGACAGTAAAAATAACAGCAGCATTTCAACAGGTTTTTGATATAATAAAAACTCAATTTAGATACCGTTATTAATCTGCTGTAAGTTTTAGTTTGTTTGAATTTATTCATGATAATTATTGTACAAAATGGTATAAGAATGCAAACATTAAGATCTGTTCTGTTTAAATTGATTATAGTCTATCAGTTCAGAAACTAGTGTTGCATGCATCCTATTTTAAAGGCATTTATTTTTATACTCTAATAAAATGCAACAAAAAATGGGTTTGATTCTATTAATGTTGTCTTTTTTATTGCACTTTGGCAGCAGATTCCTGTGTAGCTTCAGATCTGAGTTGTCTTATTAGTAAGCCTAATTTATACTTTTGTAGCAACACTATTTTTATATAATGGCAAAGAAAGGGTTCTTCAGAGTCTTTTATTTTTTTCTGTGTCATATGTGGCAGCACTGCCACAAGTTCCTCTTCAGAGAGGGTCTTCAGTACAGGTGGCAATATTGTCACCTGCCTGCGCTCATCTCTGAAACCAGACCATGTAAACAGGCTGTTGTTTCTTGCAAAAAATCTTTAAGAGATGACATGAGCAGCCTACCAGCATTTGCCATGGTGGCCTAAACATTTTTATTTGGTCTTAAATTGTAGTTCAACATTTATTTCCTGTTACTTCTGGACCATGACGGTTGGCCAGCCTTCAACAGCTACTTTAACTGAGTGGAATAATTGAATATGTTTCACCAAAAGTTGGCTATATGTTAAGAGAGTTTTCAGTAGGTTGTGACTGCACTGCAACATATTTGATTTCATTTATTTTGGTCTAATTTATTTTTATTTATCATATTAATATATGTTTTAGTATGGTTTTGGAAGTGCGCTCCAACACATTTATTGATCTTGTTTATTGGTAGGTAAATATTATTTGTTTTAAAGTTCAATAAATGGTCAATGAATAATCGTCAAATAATCGTGATATCCAATTATTGACCAAATAATCGTGATTATGATTTTTGCCATAATCGCACAGCCCTAGTGTGTATTGACTTTGACCGTCTAGTCATTGTTGGTGATTTTTAACATCCATATTGACAACCCCAGGACAGAGGGGCAAAAGAACTGTTTTGTGTTCTTGATAGCTATGGACTAACTCAGCATGTGACGGAGCCCACGCACAATAGGGGCACACTCTGGACTTAATTATCTCAAAGGGTCTGAATATCTCTAAGGTTGTGGTGACTGATGTTGCACTCTCTGACCATTCCTGTGTTTTCTTTGAGAGCTCTATTTCTGTTCACAAAAATGTTCAAAAAGAGGTAACCACAAAGCGATATTTAACTGAAAACACTAGGGAAATGTTTACTCAGAATTTTTTTTCCACACTTGCCCCTGCTAACATCTCAGTAAATGAGCTAGTAGATCATTTTAATTCAAAAATAAAAAATGTTATAGATGCCATTGCTCCAACTAAGGTAAAGGAAGTGTCTGGCAAGAAAATATCTCCATGGAGAAAGGCCATGAGCGTGAAAACACAAAAAAGAGAATGTCGAAAAGCTGAACGCAGGTGGCGAAAAACAAATCTCCAGGTTCACTTTGAAATCTATAAAGAGAGACTTGGCCTTTATAATTTGGAATTGAAAAACGCCCGACAATCGTTCTTCTCTGACATCATTACCAAAAACAACGCACCTGCCTTGTTTACTACCGTCGACAGACTAACTAACCCCCCAGTGTCAGTAGCCTCTGAATTTCTATCCACCAGGGCGTGCAATGATTTTGCCTTCTTCACTGACAACATTCAGAAAATCAGACAAGCAGTCAGTGCCTCTGCATCAGGAACAGCAAATGTGTTGTCTCTGTGTCCACTTAACATCAATTCAAACACCATGACACAAGTCCATCAGATTAATGATAAAAACCTAGAGGACATTATACAACTTCTGAAATCCTCCTCCTGCTGCCCTTGATATTATTCCAACAGGATTTGTCAAAGATGTTTTGCCTTGCATGGCCTCAGATCTACTTCATATAGTAAACAAATCTCTTCACTCAGGTATTTTTCCACAGGCCCTGAAAACTGCAGTCATTAAACCGCTCTTAAAAAGAATAATCTAGATGCTTCAGTAATGAACAATACAGGCCCATATCAAACCTCCCATTTCTAGGTAAAATCATTGAAAAAGTTGTTTTTAACAGTTGAGTAATTTCTTGCATTTAAATAACCTGTTTGGATGTGTTTCCAGTCAGGCTTTCGTCCAAACCACAGCACTGAGACTGCTCTTGTAAAGGTCTTTAATGACATCCACTTAAACACAGATAGTGGCAGAACTTCAGTGTTAGTATTATTAGATCTCAGTGCTGCGTTTGACACTGTTGACCACAGCATATTACTCGACCGACTGGAAAACTGGGTGGGACTTTCGGAAACAGTTCTAAATTGGTTTGAATCCTACTTAAAGGACAGAAACAACTTTGTTTCTATAGGTAAATACACATCTGAGTTTACAAATATGACATGTGGGGGTTCCTCAAGGCTCCATCTTGGGGCCTCTTCTCTTAACATCTACATGCTACCACTGGCTCAGATAATGAAAACAACAAAATAAGTTACCATAGCTATGCAGATGACACACACATTTATTGTAACAATTTCACCAGGAGACTATGCTCCAATTCAAACACTGAGTAAGTGCATTGAACAAAATCAATGACTGGATGTGTCAGAACTTTCTCCAATTAAACAAAGATAAAACTGAGGTAATGGTTTTTGGAGCCAAGTCAGAACGTATAAAAGTTAGCGCTGAGCTTCAGTGTGCAATGTTCAAACAACAGATAAAGCCAGAAATCTAGGTGTAGTCATGGACTCTGACCTGAGTTTCAACAGTCACATTAAAACTGTTACTAAATCAGCCTACTATCACCTAAAGAATATATCTAGGATTAAAAGACTAATGTCACAGCAGGATTTGGAAAAACTTGTCCATGCTTTTATCTTCAGTAGACTCGACTACTGTAATGGTGTCTTCACAGGTCTCACTAAAAAATCTATTAGGAAGCTGCAGCTGATTCAGAACGCCGCTGCTCGAGTCCTCACTAACACTAAGAAAGTGGATCACATCACTCCTGTTCTGAAGTCTTTACAACTGGCTTCCTGTGTGTCAAAGAATAGATTTCAAAAATACTGCTGCTGGTTTATAAAGCACTGAATGGTTTAGGGCCCAAAATACATTTCTGACCTCCTGCTAAATGATGAACCATCCAGATCTCTCAGGTCTTCAGGGACTGGTCAGCTTTCTGTCCCCAGAGTCAGAACTAAACATGGTAAAGCAGCGTTCAGTTATTATGCTCCAAATATCTGGAACAAACTCCCAGAAACCTGCAGGTCCGCTGCAACTCTGACTACTTTTAAATCCAGGCTGAAGACTTTTCTTTTTGTCGCTGCTTTTAATTGAACTATTCATATCTTAGACTGCACTGTAACTTTATCCATGTACTTTTTCTTTTAATGTTTAATTGAACTATTCATATCTTAGTAGCTTTTCTTTTTTAATGACTGATTTTAAATGCCTTTTTCTTAATGTCTTCATTTTTTGCCAAAGCACTTTGAATTGCCTGTATTGAAAAGTGCTATATAAATAAACTTGCCTGCCTTGCCTACTATAGCTGGCCCTCTGTGAATTCATAGCTGGACCCGCCTGGACGTCCAACAGCTCCTCTCTTCACAGACTCGCAGAGACGAGCTTCTTTATTTTTCATTACCCTTCACATTCCAACAGAAACTGTGTTGAGGTTTAGGATGGCAGCTTTCTAAATACAATAAAATCAAGTTATTTTGATAAAACTAATGAAAAATATATAAAAAAATAAAATATATTATTTTTAAAATGTTTTTAAATATTATTTCGTAGAATATCTTAGGCCCTCACAGAGGGCCTAGAGGGCCCTGACGGCTCGCCACTGCTCAAATTATTATGAATAATAACTTGCAGAAACAATGCATGCAATAGTCCATCCTCTCTTCCCTCTCAACACATGTTGCTCCTCTTCCCTGTCATTGCCCCACTCTCAGTACTGAGTACATTGACAACACAACATTTATACAGATATATGTGAATTTCAAAGATTCACACACTTCATTTTTTTATTTATCCAAATATTATGTCTATATTCAAATGTTTTGTGTTTACCCTTATGTTCATGTTCACTGTGCTCAAAAACGCGTCAAAGTAAAAAGTCTATATATTTATATTTTGGGCCACCAGAGATAATTTCAGGTTGCCTGTTGACAACAAATGCCCGTTTGTTGACTCCTCTATTATCTGTGTATGTTTCTCAGTGAGTTGAGTATAGAGAACTGGATCATGCCCATGGTGTATGCGGGCCATGTGTCCTGTGTGGCCTGGCTGCATCCATACTGGGCCCAGCAGATCACAGAGGGGGAGCACAGGATGGCTGTGGGAAGAGACTCCTCCACCACCACCATCAGGTAGGAATACACACACCCTCATTAAACTCCTCGGTCAGCTGTGAAGTGTGTATCTTTAGTTAAAGCCCTCACACAGGTGCTTCCCTTGTGTTGCACACTGGGCTTGTTTGTCAGCTCCCCCACTCTCATGTTAGCTTGCACCTGTTAGCGCATCACACACTGCTATGAAAGCTGCTGTTGAACTTTCCAAAAAAATCACGTCCAATGTCTTCTTCTAAATCAGATGAATTAAGCTCAGGGTTAGAGTAAAGGGTTAATTATGTTCATTATGACAACCCTAACCCACAACACTACCACAGTCGCCCACAAACAGAACATGTTCCATAGATGGAATACATGTAGATTAGGGCCGGGACTTTAACGCGTTAATTAAGATTAATTAATTACACAAAGATTAACGCGTTAAAAAAATTAACGCATTTTAATCGCACTTATTTTTGCACCGCGGAACGTTTCTCACTGGATGAGTTTCAGGCGTACCGATTATACTGGAGCACCAACTAACGTTCATGACTTCAGACAACAACAAACCACAGTGAAGTGGGAAATGTTGTTTTAAAAAACGGACGGATGGAAGCGTTGATAAGAGCACGGTTGTGTGCAAATTATGCAAAACGGAATTCGCATATCACCGCAGCACATCAAGCCTCAAGTATCACCTCAATGCAAAACATATAGCAGCTAGCGTGGAAGCTAGCGTGGACGTTAGCCTCTTTTATCGCGTTCACACCAAAAAGAGCCGGTACTAAAATTAGTTAATGAGAACCTTTTTACCCCCCACGAAAGTCCCTGCTAGAGAGCAGAGAGCTGCTAGAGAGCAGGGACTTTCGTACGGCTCTCTTGTGAGAAAAGAGCTATATTTCTGATTGGCTGGGTGGATTGCAAACCACGCCCCGTAAAACTCCCAAAAAGTTTTGTGAAGCCGCCATTTTATTATCCTCGCATTAGCATTATTAGCATTAGCATTAGCCCAGCGCAGAAACGCAGAGAGACTAACTTATGGCAACACAAAATAAAACATGGGAGCGGTGGAGATGAGGAGGTGTCGGCGTTCTGGCGATTTACTCGGAAGGCTGCTGGGACTCCCAGCAGCTTCTACTGAAGCCAGTCCCCAACTCCGGGGACTTCCGGCCGGGGACTTTGGGCGGCAGTATACGCCGTGAAGTGATTTGCGGCCTGCCAGTAAACCCAAAGCAGAAGAAGAAGAAGTGACGTCAGCGGCTTCATTTGCCTAATCCACCCCCAGGTTCAAAGAGTTCTCATGAACTAAATTCTCATGAACCTTTGTGGGAAAAGTACTGCGGTGTGAATGCGCCTAATGGTATACTAAAATCCATGTGAAAAAAAATTGCTTCTCACTGTTCTTAGGTCAAATATGTATATGCGATTAAAAATGCGATTAATTTCGATTAATTAATTACAAAGCCTCTAATTAATTAGATTAATTTTTTTAATCGAGTCCCGGCCCTAATGTAGATACTTTACCCCATGCATTCTTATCATGTTGTTTCAGCTGGGCTTGTATAAACGTGGACAACAGTGAAACATGTATATCTTCAGTACCAAGGTTTGAATTCAAATACAACATGGCAATTGTTGCATCCTGCTTCTATTCATATTCATTTAAATGAATCTCAATTAGTGTGATTGTATGAAACTATTTGAATAAATAATACTTTATGCAATACATCTACTACTGTGCATATTTTTCTTTAAAGTTGGAAACATATGAGCACTTTAGCAAGATGTATGTAATATGACGGAAAATACTTATAAAGCAGTGTTACTTAAATGATCTGCGTTTCTCGGTCATCATCGGTTGTTTCTGTGAACGGACGAATAGTGCGTCACTTTCTCCTCTTCTGTAAAGCAATGCCCCAGTGTATCCTGAGCTAAAGGGGACACTAAAGGTACTCTTGAAGCTCCTTTCCTATCATTGAATGAATTTGAAAGCTCTCATCATGGCTGCCATTTCAGTTCTTACGGGTCATTTCACTCTTAGGAACCCCAATAGCAAAAAAAACGATTTGCCTGTAACAAATGTTTCTAGGAGCTTTAAGATCAGATGTTTCCCTTTGGTTTGTCATGAACGTCATTTCCTGTATCTGTTTCTCTCCTTGTTGTGCAGGGTGACCAGCACAGACGACTACTTCCTTAGCGACGGTCTGTATGTTTCTGAGAAGCAGCTGGAGAATCCCAAAGCTCTGAGGCTGAACGTGGTCAAAGTCAATCCTGTTAAACAGAGCCAAAGCTCACTGACGGGTGAGGTCTAACACTGAGTGCAACATTAGAAGACATCTAAACAGAAATCATTGATATATTCATTTCGATAAGGATTTTGTATCTTGTGTATGAATTTACCGATGATTTACACAAGCTCATGGCAACACAATAGCTGTCCCTGCTGCCAGTCTGAGGCCTAGAGTCCAACACCAGGGAGGTAGAGCGAACCAACAGCAGCGTTACAAAGTTGCTACTTTTTTAGATTTGTTCGTCTGAAATGTTGGTCACTAATTCCAGAACTGAAGTGATTGACTCCTTTCAGAGCACAGCCACTTCATTGTAATTTGCCTCGCTTTGAAAGCACACTTTAAGGTTGATTTGGTGATTTCATTCTCTCTTCAGGGAACCCAGGCCTCGGTGTGAAATACACATGCTTATAAATGACCTGGTTACTTCTAAGAATGGGAGCACACTAAATAATAGCATTTATTTTGCTCTAACTCAAAAACCACTTTTCCTTTTATAGGATATTTGAATGCTTCATCAGTTTGCAGGGTTCTTCTCCTCCGTATAATGTTATTTGCAGTCGTACAAACATTGAAAAACAGATTGTTCCCTGACATCTTAAGCCTCGGATTTATTCAAGACTTATCAGTCATCATTCAACAATGTTAATATATGAGTGATTTCTTTTAATCAAATGTTTTTAACACATGTATTATTTACTAGTTTTTTTATTTCCTTCTCTATATCCAATGATATTTTTTTTTAGATCATATTGAAGATTTCCTCTTCTTCATATTTCCATTTGACCCTGTTTTTCATTTGTTCTTGTGATATTTCAGAAGTGCAGAGTGCAGAGGACATAGACAGAGGTTGTGCTAAGAGAGGCCGAACAGAGTGCAGGGCTGAGGGGTCCAGCTGCTCGGAGCCCCCTCTCACATGTACTGACCCGCTGCGACCTGCAGAGGGCAGCAGCAGGTCGAGCTCCAATGAAGATGATGAGGAAGGATCCACCAGTTATGTTGTGAAGATAATATCTTCATTTCTAAGTGAGACAGAGCCGTATATCCTGGACATTGATTTGGATTTCTTCTCATGTAAGAATCCCTTCAAGGAGTTATACACAGAGGTACATCCCACTTGAACTCACTCATTGCTTTGTACACAGAGGTACATCCCACTTGAACTCACTCATAGCTTTGTACACAGAGGTACATCCCACTTGAACTCACTCATTGCTTTGTACACAGAGGTACATCCCACTTGAACTCACTCATTGCTTTGTACACAGAGGTATATCCCACTTGAACTCACTCATTGCTTTGTACACAGAGGTACATCCCACTTGAACTCACGCATTGCTTTTATCTTCAAAAAAGCATAATGTTTTATAAACAAACGTCTACCAATGCAGCACCATGCTTGATATAAAACACTTTGTTTAACTATAAGAGATGTCGCCTTCCTGAAAAACAGGAAGTAATAATTTGAAAAAAGAGTTTGGAATTATGCCTGGGCTAGACAGGAAGTCTCCAGAAAGTAACGACTCCATGGGGCTTTCAGAGTTCCTTTATCCAAATGGAACAATGTGACCTTAGAAAATAAGAGACCAAGATATTTAGGATCAAAAATGATTTTATTGATGGGAAAAGCTGCCTTTCATTCAGCATATTCAGGCAGAATTATTATTATTTTTTACACAGGCAAAGATGCAGTCTTTCACCAGTTTATCTTTTTAGATAAAACAAAAAAGACCAATTAAAGTACAGTGGATGTGCCAGAGTCCATATAAGATACGGTATTATTTTAATGGTCAGATCAAGTCTGAAATTCGACTTGAGTCACAGCAGCTCCATTTGCAACATCAACAATGACAGATATTAAGACACAATAAAAAAAATAAAAAACATTTAACATAACATCAAGATCACTGAGAGAAACCCGCTCAAGACCCTTTTGCATGCATTTGACCTGGGATTTAGCTCCGTATTTACTGTTGGAAATCTACAGAGGGATCTTTTGTAGTGTGAATGTAAAATGTGTTTAATTGAAGTGTGTGTGTGTGTGTGTGTGTAGGAAGAGTACACCATCCTGAAGGAGCTCTACAGCTTCAAAGGACCGCGTCCCCATGCTGCTGAGGTGAGTCAGTGACTGAGTGAGCGTCATTTTACTGAACTAAAGTCTTCCATGTGTATTCCTTAGAGTAGTTTGGGTTAGTTGGTTTATAAATGTTTTTGCGCATCAATTCCCAATCCATTGATGGTATAATGCTGAAGAGATAATTTTCCCATTTATCTTTTACATTGCTAATACTTATTAAAGCTTCTATACTTACTATAGGAGTACATGGTAATGTTGTTTTCTCTGAAGCTTATTTTGGTCCTTTTTAAGAGTTATACCAAACCTTTTTTTGTGTGTGTTTGCAGGAGGAGCTGGATGAGTGTGTGGATCAGCGTGTCCGTCAGCTGGAGGACCTGGAGGCTGCGTTCGCTGACCTGCTGGAGGATGATGGGGAGGACACAGTGACACGCTGGGCCGGGAACCCCGGGTAATCAACCCTTAGCATTTTAAACTAATGGAATTTATTAAAGTGGCACTCCAGTTTTCTTATTATAGGGGATTGTGTCCTCAACCTGTGAAAACTGTCGTTGTTTTTTCCATGTGCACACTTATAATCAGGACTGTGTTGGTGTAAAAGCTTCCTAGCCAATAACAACGGCTCTGTTCCAGTGAGCTAGCTTGTGTAGCCTGGGCTAAATATAGTGCTCAATGTTTATCCTCTGCTGTTTTATTGGAGATCATGCTCTACAGTTTCCTCAGTGGAATGAAAACAGACGATTGCATGTACACCATACACAGTCACAGGGCTGATAAAGTTACCCCGTTTCCCTGGTTCTAGTTCCGGATTGGAGCCGGTGCCCAATTGAGAACAAGTTGTTTGTGTTTCCACTGCAGCAGGGCCGGCTCTTAGCCCTGAAAATGGGTTGAACTGCCATAAGGCATAACGCATACATAAGAGGCTAGTGCAGAGCAACATCAGTTCATGGCGAGATTAGAAAGATGTTGCAGGAGTGCCGAGATCGCAAAGTGACTGGAACACAATTCCACATATTGTACATATAGACGTTATGGAACATTAACCAGGCAGTATGTTACATAATTCGTTTTTAACACTACTTTAGGGCCAATAATGAATTTGCCTTATGCATCACATTATTGTGAGGTACAGTCGCTGGCGTTGATGGGATATAAACGGTGGCGTTAAAACCTGGCTCCTCTCTCACTCAACAAACTGAACCAATCTAGCCCCAACACAGAACTACAACGGAATTCATTTGAATGGAAAAGGGCTAAGAAGAACAGACGAAAATTCACGTCACGACTGGAGGAAGTCAGAAGCTTGATGCTTTGAGAAGAGAGTGCTAACCCATGCAGCACAATTCAGGGCTCTGGAACTAGCGAAACGACATAAACAGAGTGTACACACCCACACAGTGAGAACAGGTCCAACATGTCCAACCAGATGAAAGCATGTGTGTGATGGGACGATTATGAAGTGACTTCTCTCCCTATATGAAATGGGTGCTTATTGATCATGATCATTGAGCATCAGCACTGATGTGTGAAGTGTAGCACGTCTGTAATTATCCAGATCCTTCATTGTGTGACTCTTAACTCCATGCACATTACTTTATTCTGCCAGGCACACCTAAAGTGTATTATCTGTTTTCTTTCTTCCAGCATGTCTTCATTAACCCGACTGGTTTCCAGTTTAAAGTCCAGAAACCCGTGCCCTGACTATGAAATGGTAAGAAGGTTAAGGCCCTTATGAACTGTGAGTGTACTGATACAACAGCTCCTACTATACTGATTATAACAGGTTTTGTGAAACTCAAGCAATAATTGACAAATTGATACAGAGGTGTCTATGTACGTAGATTATTCACACATTACAAATGAAAACCTTAGAGGTTGCGACATGGGATGGGACTGTTCACTCAGAATGACAGTCGCTCATTCACCTGTCAGTGTGACGTGAATAAAACACTCGGCAGTGATGTGATAATGATAAATGAAGTACAGGGACTTTCAAAGTGACTGCATGAATACAATGAAATACATCAGGGCTCATATTGGGGTGTTGTTTTATTCCCTCTCACATCTGATCTCTCTGCTCTCTCACTGTGTTCCCTCAGGTCCATCAGGCTGGGTTGACCTGTGACTCGGGGGAGCTGCCGCACCACATCAGCTCCGACGAGGAAATCGACAGACTCATCTCCGCCGTGCAGCTGTTTCTCAAGGCTCTGCCCAAACCCACACTGGTCACCATGTCCAGGTAAATAACAACATGCAGAGCCTCATGGGAGTTACGGATGTACTTAATAAGAGTCAGAGTTAAAAAATAAATGAAATGTGTTTTTGAACGTGTGGTCCAGGTCCAGTCTGGATGAATACTGCCCCGTAGAGCAGGTGGACTCGGTGCAGAGCAGAGTACTGGCTGTACTGGAGAACCTGTACGGACCACTGGACTTACACAGAGACTATGAGAACAGCAGCACAGAGACTCAGGCCTGCCAACCACAGGCCTCCTAACACACACACACTCACACACAAACCAGCCTACTGAGACACACACACACACACACACACACGTTACTTTTGGATTTAATGGATGTACAGTTTGTAATAGACAAGCACTTGAAAAAATGACATATACGGATACGGTTGTAATGAACTTGAAGTAAATTCATATTTTATGTCCAAAAGCTGGAACATGTTCTGAGACTGTCGGTCATTATTTATGCATGTAATATGTTAACATTTGAAATCTGGTAATATTCTATGTTTTTCATCGTAAACAAATCCCATGTGCAGACTCAGGCCAGCACTGAATGAATATTGGTGCCCTTTTCAGGGAGTTTATATTCAAGAATTTAGAGCAATCCCAGCAGTAATGTTGTCGGGTTTTTCTTAACATGATCCATTCGTTGGTGAATTGATAAACTACTAGTGTATCTCCACAAATCTACGAACATGCTTTAACTTTCCCTAGGCTGACTACAGCTGGGAAGATACAATGTACTGAAGGCTTTGTTTCATTTAAAAGAATTCCTCATCTGTCTTTAATATCAATAAACCACAACTTGCAGTTGCTACACAGATGATCCCGCCCCTCTACAAGAGACTCCTGAAAAACAAAGATCATTTGTCATTAGAGAAAAATCTCCACATTTGTTTAGCTCACCGTTTTTCTTCATATGGTATAAGAAAAAACAGCTCACAAACTAAGACACGACTTATATTTGAACACTGATACAAATGGGTATTGCTCGCATTTGCGCATAAGATGAGGCCCTACGCACTGCACGTGTTCTGCGTGTAGGGAGGGGTGGCCCTGTATAACTTTTCAAATGTTTTGCTCAGGGTTGTAAGCATTTTCTCTCCGATTATTGTATTGAATACAATACCCTTCTCTTAAACAAAAACGTATCAGTATAATTCCAAACATGTGTAAAATATATATTATCTTAATGCCAATATATGGGTAAAAGTGTATTCAGCAGCCAATAAGAAATGTCATTACAAAAAAAGCAAAGATATGTTTGAGGTCATGTTAGACAAGGCAGTTTTGAGAAAATAGGATCAAACATGTTCATCTAAAGTGCATAACATCTGGATGAAGCCATTTTCCTGACATGGAAGCACTGATGTATTGGAGAGAGAACGTGAGGGAATGATGGTGTTAGAGGGTGTGTCAGCTTCAAGCAAAGGGACACCCTGGAACCTTATCTTCAAAGAAAAGTCTGCTGGTTTATAAGGACCCTGTCCCACTATTAAGCATAGACTTAACACGAGTGAAAGATAATGTGTCCGCCCCTAAATCGGATTCTCTCGGAGTTATTTTTCTTTTAATTGGGTAGGCCTACTTCCTTTGCCTTTCCCTCTGCCATTCGAGGTCACAACCAGGCTAATTTCTGCCAAATATATAAATGAAAACGTAGCACTTAAGTCAATAGAGACGTTTGTTGAAGGCGTACAAGGGGTGTGGGCGTTTACATAGTGTGCGTGAAGGCATCAGTTGGTCACGGTTTGTGTTGCTCTCTGACGGTCAGCTAACAGCAGCTAGCAGCGGAGAACAGAGGAGAAGAAGAAGCAGCTCACCAACATGAGGACCAACAGTTTGAACCGAATTGTACTCATTACCATATGTACGGTGGTGTTCATTGCAGTTTTAATTGTCAACGCTTTGGCTGGAGCGGGAAAGGGTGAGTTGAGTAACCTTGTTCTGACACTTCAATGTTTTGTTTTGCGCTTCGTTACAGCCAAAGTTAAGTTACCTAAAACGTCGGACACTCGTTTACTGTAACGTTAACGTCACAATGTGTGTAACATGTTCAAATTGGAATAAGGACTTATATTTTCTCCTCACCAACTGGTTACGAAACCATTTTCACTGGGAGGGAGACTCCCAGTTAATGTTGTGTTGCGTCGTTGCTGTCGTTACATAAAAACATGAGCACTTATTTCCATGACAGTGCTTGTGTAACTTTGACGTTATTTTAGCTTGACCAACTACTAACTAGAGGCAAAGTATAGTAGTGATGTATAAATATATCAAATACGCTACTCTGTATTTGTATTTCAAGAGCTTGCGTTTTGTTTCCAGTAGAAAGGATAAGTCACAGAGATGAGAGAATGCTCTTGCGCCGCGTTAAAAAGTCCGTTCACCCCAATAACAAAATGAAAAAAAAGTGTTCTTACTTAACTCTAAATGTAACGTCAGTGGTATTGCACGCTGCATTCAAAACATTTTACACCATTTAACTTTTAAACCACTTTGTACAAAAATAAACAGTCCAAATGAACGAAAGCACGAGCGCTTGTAACATCTGGTCCTGAAACCCACCGGTGCCCATGGAGGGGGGCGAGGGGCACACCCATGTAGGTTGGCATAAACATCAAATTCCTTTCTCTCAAGTCATCAGTGGCTCAAGTTTTGATATTGCTGTTTTTCTCGGCATAATTTATATTTTAATTGGATATAACTGTATTTTAATGTCACATCATTGCATTGTTGAAAGCAATCCCTATGAACTATCAACTGTAACATATGTAGTTCCTTGTTTTAGATGTATAATACACTTTCCGTCTTGTGTCCTCTTACAAAGACACAGTAACCATCCTTTTGTCATGTGTCATGTGTCTAAAGTTATTATTTGTCCATTCAAGAGACATTTTCCCTAAAAATGTCTCTTGAATGGAAAAGTACTAAATTGCTAAAAGACTTTATAAAAGTCTCCAAAACCATACCAGTTTGTCTAGTCGTCTTTTTTTTATTAATCATCTCACAATTAAGACTTAGTAGGAGCCACCTAACCTAAGCTATGTAACTCAATAAAAAGAAGGTAATAAGGAGCTCATATTTAAGCTACATCAGTAAAATACTACATTAAAGCTGCAATGTGTGGTTTCATGTTCAACATGATTTTGAACATATTTTTGCTTAGATGTCTGACATAAGGTCTGTGATTATCACAAGCAGAAGAGATTTTCACGTTTCGTCATACAACATAAATATGTCAGTAAATAAACCAATGGTGAATGTCTAAAGTTTCTATGTGTTATAAAAACAGCATTTGCTAACAAGTATCTTAAATGAGGCCACTAAACGCCATCTTGCCAAACAAAAACCGCCTTTAGCTCAGTGGTGGTGATGTTGAGTCATGCGGCCTTGATGTAGTTTGTTTTCTAGCCAAACGTTAAGTTGTATTTCTGGTAATTGTTTTGTTATGTTCCAAAAATCACAAAGTGGTGATTATCCTGTTGAACAAAACAAAAATCCATTGGAAAAATCCCATTGCTTTTTTTTTTTAGGAAGCCCTAAACAAAACACCTGGAAGCCTCCAGGTGTTGGTTTTTTCCCTTTCCTCTTTGAACACGACAATGCCCACACTGTATATGCTGATATGACATCACTGTGGCCTTCAGGAACCTCTCATGCTGTGTCCGTCCACCAGGTCCTTTCCACTCCTCCACAGGGAATGTCTCCGCCCTCTATGAGACGGACATCACCCCCGCTGGCTGGACCTTCTCCATCTGGGGCGTCATCTACACCTGGCTCACCCTCCTGGTCATATACACCACTTCATATGTCTTCAGAGGGTAAGCCCACATCAACATATGTATAATGCGGATGAGAGCTGTGTGCAGATGAAACTGACCCCCCCTCCCCCTCTCTCTCTTCCTCTGAATAGATCCTGGGCTCAGAGCCTGCTGCCCTACACCTTCTATTTCTGCTGGATGGCTAACTTGGTGCTGAACATGATCTGGCTGCTGCTGTGGGACAGAGAGTATGTCTGACACCTATACTTCTTACTTTTATATTTGCACAGAACCACTGAAAAGCTATAATACAAAGAGTGTGACTGTCATGGGGGTTAGGTAAGCTTTAACCAGTCAACATTAAGTAAGTAGGGACTAAGGATAGTGCAAACATTAGTATGAAAAGAGTAAATTAAGTGTACTGTTGATTTATGATGGAATGAACTAAATATTCTACTTAAAGTGTTTGTTCACCCCTAAATAGCTATCTGTTTTGTAATGGTCTGCCTCACCCAGTACTGAGGAAATTAATAGAATTAATTTGTCGCACAGAATTATCAAATTACATCTAAAAACACAATTAAAAAAAATATATATTTACGGAAGAAACTAATAAAACAATGTATCCAAAGCCACTGCTCAGAAAACTGTCGATTAGCCAGAAAACCATAGAGGTTGTTTGTGGAATTCACATTGCTGTTTTGTTTGTGCTATATGCTATATATACTTTATATGTGCTATACTGTATATGCCATATACACAACATATACAAATTCCATTCCCCTCAATAGTGAAGCGAAGGAGGCAGAATTATCTGTGCCAGATATAAAATATAAAAAAATGTTACAGTCCTGCCAAAAAACTAAATCAACTTTTGCAAAACGTTAAGGCCCTCAAAAACGCATCCTTTCGGTTACTTTCACAGTTCCTTCGCTCTGACTCCTAAATATAAGCCCTAGTACAAACTGTATTGTTGCAGGAAGCTGTGAAATGTATGTTAGTTACTTGGCTGTCATGTTAGTTCTTCACAATTAGAATGTGGATAATAATAATGTTCTATGATGCAAGGTAGGGAAGTGCTTTACAGGCAGTATTCCCACATTTGACACATTAACGTTTTTCAGTTTTCTACAAACCACTGTCATATAGTTTAGGTTAGTTTAACAGTTTGTAAGAAAGTTGAATCTGATATAGCACATAGGCACAAATCTTTATTATTTATTTACAAATGGATGTGTTGCCTTGTTTGTTATCTACAAACATAATCAGGTTTGAGTTAATCAGTCAGCCTCATCTATGATACACAATAAGGTTTGGGGTGATAATATTAGTAATACTGCAAAAAGAAACAAAGTAGTGTCTGCCAGCTCATGGAGCCCTATTGTGAACCCGGAAATTATGACTTCCCCAAAGTTTTATGTTATGTTCAGGTATAGTAAGGGTCGGATGCTAACTTTTATATGTAGGGAAATTAGCATAGTTAGCACAATCAGAAGCTGAATTCCTTTATTAGGGGGAATCTAAGTTTGTTACAGCAGAGTATAGAGACGAAGAAAGTTGAACACTATCACGTAAAAAGGCATGCACAGAGTATTTTTAAAATAAAAACGTAATGATTATAACTTAAAACAAGTTGCATTTATAAGCCTATTCAGACCATAGCTAAAAAATGGCTTGGACAATTTTGGAGTGGTTTTGCTTTGATTATTGAGGATGCTGGATACATTTATGTGAAATATTTGTATTCCCAGTGGGCTGGTTTTGATGAAGTCTGCGTCGATTTGAAAGTTTTAGGGAAGTCAAACTCACTGAATGTGACCTAGAATTGACCCCCCCCCCCTGCAGGTTGATACTGGCAGCTCTGGTTGTATTGATCCTGATGGTGATCACCAGCTGCACCGCTCTGTTCTGCTGCTGCTTCGCCACAGATTACTACGGGCTGTGGTTACAGGCGTACCATCGCAAAGACCTGTTCTGCCTCAGGGTCCTGGTGAGTGCTGCTCTTCATTCCCTGAAGTCTCTATTTTTAAGAATGTGCCATGAGAATGATGTCATCTCTTTGTTCATAAATGCTCCCCATATCCAGGTCCAGAATGGTTTGGCTCTCTACACCACATGGACTTCCATTGCGTCTCTGATCAACTTCTCATTGGTTCTCCACCTGTGGGGCGTGGCCAAGAGCACCGCGGCGACAGCGTCTCTCTGCATCCTGTTTGCAGAGGTGGTGGCATGGTAGGCTCTGATTGGACGAAGTCATTTCAATAGTGACCCTACTGTTACTAGTTACCTGTGGAAAAAAGTAATCAGTAACCTTTTCTGAGGATCACGATATAAAGTAATGTAACCTGATAACTTTCAGTTACTTTTGGATTACCTCAATATCAAATGCAATGCAAATAAATACAACAGAAGATAATTATCAATGAGATGTTTCTAACATGAGTGTATTATGTAAGACAACAGAACAATGTGACCTTAGAAAAGAAGAAACCAAGATATTTAGGATCAAAATTATTTTATTGATAGGCAGTGGCGGGCCATGACTTTTATACCTAGGCCCTCTGACCCCCACCCCTTCCCTCGGAAAAAAATGAATTGCGTTATTACGTCACAGCGTGTACTTCAGCGGAATATCAAAACAACGGCCCGGGGTGCAAAACGCATCAATGAAAGCAACCCTCTACCACAAAACAACACCTGTAAATAACCCAATTTGTGTTCTTTGAAATTGAAAAGGATATTGCATTGTGTGTGTTACTTTTGTTGCAGTTGTATGTCTTAAATGTAATTTGGCTTGGCTTCCTATTTTGTATAGACATGCTTTTATTTTGAAGACAAGTTTATGCTGTTGACAGGAAGTTGGTTTTGCTATGGAAACAGGAACAGCTTCACAGCGGGCGGAACTTGTCATAAAGTCCACGATAATAAAACCCACCCATTTAGAGGGAAGATATGATTGGTCAATTGTACTGTCTGGGCCCTCTGTGAATTTACAACAGGACCACCAATCAGCTCCTCTCTTCACAGTAACTCGCAGAGACGAGTTTCTTTAATTTAACCCTTCACAGAAACTGAATAGGCAGATTCGAAGGATTTATTTCTTTGGAAATGTTATTTTAAATACAATTAAATCAAGTTATGTTGGTAAAACAATTTTTTTTGTTTAATGTTTTTAAATATTATTTTGTAGAATATTTTAGGCCCTCAGAGAGGGCCTAGAGGGCCCTGACGGCTCGCCACTAGGAAAAGCTGTCTTTCACTCGGCAGATTCAGGCAGCAGCCTATACGCCAACACTGAAACACATGAGCACATACTGCAGTTTAAAAAAGCAGAAATACAATCTGAGCTCAGTTTTAGTTTAATGCAGTTAAGCTCACACACACTATTTTATGAACATATAGGTTCACCTACTGAATTAAAAACAGAACAAATGAACCAAAGAAAGTGAAAACCATGGGAACTTCCGGTATGAGGTGTGCGGAGTAGACGTGCAGGCTCCCACGACTTAACTTTCAGATTTACCTTTTAAACTTCTCATTAAGTATTTTTGTTTTCAAAAGTTTAGTGTAACTGTGCTGACCACCTTTTTGGCCTCGACAATGTCTAAAACGAAAAGCAAGCAGGATAAAGACCCGTCTTCCTCGTCTGCTAGTGTTACGCTAGCAGAACTTAGCTCCCTGTTAGCTGAGCACAGGAAAGCAATATCTGCCGACTCATCTTTTGAGGCGCTGACAACGACACTGGACGGCTTGAACTCGACTAGCGGGCCATGGGGAAAGGATCGGCTCTCTGGAAGACAACTCTAATGAGGTGGACCGTCGTCTCCAACATTTAGAGAATGCATGTTCTTCCCTCCAACAAGATAACGTGTTGCTGAAAACTAAGCTAGCCGACCTGGAGGGGCGCAGCAGGCGCCAAAACATCAGGATTATTGGCCTACCTGAATCACTTGAAGGTCCACGACCAACCGCGTTTTTTTCCCAACTACTTGTGGATGTCTTTGGCAAGGAGGTCCTTTCTTCACCACCTGAGCTCGATCGTGCCCACCGGAGCCTCGCACCCAAGCCTGCTGCAGGAGATAAGCCACGACCTGTCATCGTACGCCTATACCGCTTCCAAGTGAAGGACCTGCTCATCCGTGAGGCTCGTAGACGTGGTGAGCTGTTCTACAAGGAGCACAAGATCCGACTTTACGAGGATTACAGCAGCGATGTGTTGAAGGAGAGTACAAAAGCTCCATGGCGGAACTCTACAAGCGCGGGTACAGACCGGCTCTCCTGTATCCAGCCAAGCTCCGTATTACCCTCCCCAACGGCGAGAAGACATGGATCCGGTCTGTTTTGGAGGCTGACAAGTTTCTACAGAACTTGAACAAGTAAGCCAGTGACTTATGTACAATAACGCTATCGTTAATGTCAATATTACGTGCCTGATGGCGAGGCGCGCTCTTTCCATTTTAGCGTTTTCCCCATCATAAATGCCGGCTGTGCGCTAGCGTTGATTGCAGTTTGCGGTTGGCGTACACCTTCCCAAATGTTATCTCCACAGCTACGGGCTGTCTACAGTAGCCTATTGTTAAGAGTATAAACGTTTGATATTCATGTTCCACTGTCTCATCAAAGAGTTTCATATTTCTAATAGGCTGACATGTTTAGTGTTTGTGTTACACTGTTTCATTGTATTTCCAACAGACTGACACGTTTTCACAGGCAGACATGTGTTCAAAACAATTCATGGGAATGCCTATTATACTCGTTTTTTATGTGGATTTTGAGGTTAAGATACAATGCTTTTCTTGAAGTTTATTAAGTCGTGGGATCAGCGTGATGGATTTTAGGAAGTAGCAAATTATGCTGATCAGTGGATCAGTGAGTTTCACGCTGTTGCTTCTTGCAGCAGCGTGGGGTTTGGGGTTGGAGTGTGGGTTGCTTGTGGGGTGTTTTTGTCACTGTTTTTTGAGTTGTTTTATTGTGCGGTCTGTTACTGTATTTTTCTACTATTATCTATGTGCTACTGCTACAATCCATATGGCTCTCTCTCTGGTTCTGGCTCTGAGTCTTAGGTGGGGATGGGTGGGGGCATTTATGGAGGATGCATCTCCAACCATACCGTCAATCCCTGCATATGGCTAGTACAGTCTCATTGTCTGCACCATGCGGTGCAGTTCGATTCACTAGTTGGAATGTTAGAGGTCTTAACTCTCCTGTTAAGCGTAACAAAGTGATCAACCATCTTATATTCCTTAACACTAAAATAGCCTTTTTACAAGAGACCCATCTTAAGCCGTTAGATCACGTTAAACTTAAGAGAGGTTGGGTTGGCCAACTTTACCACTCCTCATTTTCAAGCAAGGCACGCGGGGCTGCAATTCTAATTCATAAATCAATTCCCTTCTCAATGTCCACTGTCATTTCAGACCCTAATGGACGCTTTATAATTGTTACAGGTAGAATTGGGGCTAATAACCTGGTGTTGGCAAATGTCCATCCATCCATCCATCTTCTCCCGCTTATCCGTGGTCGGGTCGCGGGGGTAGCAGTTCCAGCAGAGAGCCCCAAACTTTCTTTTCCCTGGCGACATCAACCAGCTCTGACTGGGGGATCCCAAGGCGCTCCCAGGCCAGCGAAGAGATATAATCCTTCCACCTGGTCCTAGGTCTACCCCTTGGTCTCTTCCCAGCTGGACGTGCCTGGAACACCTCCCTAGGGAGGCGCCCAGGTGGCATCCTAACTAGGTGCCCGAACCACCTCAACTGGCTCCAACTTTCGACGCAAAGGAGGAGCGGCTCAACTCCGAGTCCCTCCCTGATGACCAAACTTCTCACCTTATCCCTAAGGGAGACACCAGCCACCTTGCGGAGAAAACCCATCTCGGCCGCTTGTATCCGCGATCTCGTTCTTTCGGTCATGACCCATCCTTCATGACCATAGGTGAGGGTAGGAACGAAAATGGCCCGGAAGACAGAGAGATTTGCCTTCTGGCTCAGCTCCCTTTTCGTCACAACGGTGCGGTAAAGCGACTGCAGTACCGCTCCCGCTGCTCCGATTCTCCGGCCCATCTCACGCTCCATTGTTCCCTCACTCGAGAACAAGACCCCGAGATACTTGAACTCCTTCACTTGGGGTAAGGACTCATTCCCTACTTGGAGTGGACAGTCCATCGGTTTCCTGCTGAGAACCATGGCCTCAGATTTGGAGGTGCTGATCCTCATCCCAGCCGCTTCACACTCGGTTGCGAACCGATCCAGTGAGTGCTGAAGGTCGCAGACCGATGAAGCCATTAGAACCACATCATCTGCAAAAAGCAGTGGTGCAATCCTTAGTCCACCGAACTGCAGACCCCCTCCCCCATGACTACGCCTCGAAATCCGATCCATGTATATTACAAACAGGATTGGTGACAAAGCGCAGCCCTGGCGGAGGCCAACCCTCACCGGAAATGGGTCCGACTTACTGCCGAGGACCCGGACATAGCTCTCGCTTTGGGAGTACAGAGATTGGATGGCCCTGAGTAGAGACCCCCTCACCCCATACTCCCGCAGCACCTCCCACAGTAACTCCCTGGGAACTCGGTCATACGCCTTCTCCAAGTCTACAAAACACATGTAGACCGGATAAGCGTACTCCCAGGCCCCCTCCAGGATCCTTGCGAGAGTAAAAAGCTGATCCGTCGTTCCACGACCAGGACGGAATCCGCATTGTTCTTCCTCAATCTGAGGTTCGACAATCGGCCTGACCCTCCTTTCGAGTACCTTAGAGTAAGCTTTCCCGGGGAGGCTGAGTAGTGTGATGCCTCTGTAATTGGCACACACCCTCTGATCCCCCTTTTTAAAAGGGGGAACCACCACCCTGGTATGCCACTCCTTCGGTACTGTTTCCGACTTCCACGCAACGTTGATGAGACGTGTCAACCATGACAGTCCCTCAACACCCAGAGCCTTCAGCATTTCCGGGCGGATCTCATCCACCCCCGGGGCTTTGCCACTGTGGAGTTGTTTGACGACCTCAGTGACCTCCCCCCGGGAGATTGGTGTTGATCCCCCGTCATACTCCAGCTCTGCCTCTAACATAGAGGGCGGAGTTGTCGGGTTCAGGAGTTCCTCAAAGTGTTCCTTCCAACGCCCGAACACTCCATCAGTTGAGGTCAACAACGTCCCATCCTTACTGTACACAGCTTGGATGGTTCCCTGCTTTCCCCTACTGAGGTGTCGGACAGTTTTCCAGAACAACTT